ACAAGAATATGGAATAAAAAATTGGGATTTCTCTAGTGAAAAAATTTTACCGAAATTATTCGTTTTCGAACATTTCATTGAAATTGCTGAAAATTTGCTGAAATTTCACTGAAAGTAAATTTTTCAGTTAACATACTGAAAAATCGTTGAAATTACTTTGAAATTATTTTGAAATTTCTTTGAAATTTTTCTGAAATTTTGCTAAAAATGAATTTTTCAGCTACAAAATCACTGAAATTAATTAAAATTTTTCTGAAATGCTGAAATTTTGCCGAAAAGTGTTCCAAAACGTGAAATAATTTTAGCGGAATTTTTTCACCAAGATTCTGTTTTAAAAAAATCGATATGATCTGATCTAGGCGACACCAACCAAGATCAAACTGATAAAATTATTAAATCGATCTTTTTATACCCTATAACTTTCGTCTAAAACATTTTTTTATAAAACTTATATTTTTTTAGATATTCAGGGATTCCGAGTACTTTTTATACACCCTGTATAATCTGTGTATACAGGTACATACATATAAAATTGTATATTATGAACATTGCGGGTAATACATATGAGCATCCTTTATATTTCTCTCTCTCTCTCTCTCTCTCTCTCTCTCTCTTTCTCTCTCTCTCTCTGAGTTAGTAGTGTCATTTAATAGTATATCATTTGCTGGGAAAGATACATCTATCTTCGCAACATGTCAGTATGTTATGGGATTTAAATTAAATTCATTTATTTCGGAAAAAAATTTATTAAATTAAGCCTCCAACGGCGTATATGGGTCATTTGTAACCATGTCATTTTTAACAGTTCTTAATACCTGCATAATTTTTATAACTTTTCCAACTTCTTTTTTAATCTAAAAAACATATGTGAATTTTTACAAACTTTTTAAGCACTTTATAAGAGCTTCAAAATTGAGTTGAACACAAATAACCCATGTGTGCCGCTCTAAAGTGATGAAAATAAATGTGCCATTGCAGGGTTAAATGAGCAGGTACGTTATTTTCTTATTTCTTACGTTTTACCTTTAATTTCATAAGCTTTTAATCTACATTGAGATAGAATACCTTGCTCTATATATCTGTTTTCATAAAGTAAACAGTATTGAACCATCATAATCTCATAAATTTCCGAGACCAATATTGGTTTGTTATATTTTTTTTAATATGATGCATGGTCGTCTATTATGAGCATGCATGCTCATAAGTCTAATCAACCTCTGCGAATTGGAATTAAGATATAAGTCGTTTTTAGTTATTCCAATTATTGTTTTAAACTTACGACATAGAATTCTAACTGAAAAAAAATTAAACATTATACTAGTTAAAAAAAATTTATTTTAATTGTAAAGTATATGTTCGGGTATTATGAACAAATTTTGATGTTATGTGAACGAATAAATATATTGTACGTGATAAATACCTTCATTTAACAATTTCATTTTTAGAAGGCCAAAGAAACTACACATATAAAAATCAATAACACAACCTTTTATTTCTACATAATTTCTTCTAAAAAACTTCCTCTGCTCATATTACCCATAAGAGAATGCCCATATTATCCTTCCCAAAGGTTAATGTGAGCATTGGGTGGGTAATAGGAGTACCCTCCATCATTTTAACATTTGCATTAAAATAATCTATTTCAATATCTCATATATCAAAATACATAAAACATCAACGAACCTATCAAATGATATGAACAAGATTTTCAAATTCTTTAGTATGAAAGAGATATCAAAATGTTTTCTTGAGGTGTTCCTTATACCCTACATACATTCACGTACGCGCGTACACTCATAAAAGCCGTCACTTTATTTATGCGTTTTTGTCGTATGACAAATTTTTCAAGTCTGTTGATTGGCTATAGAATAAAGAGATCCGAGGGCTTTTCTGTTCTGCATACATTTATCGTACGATAAAAACGCATAAATGAAATAGCACCCAAATGCGTGCGTGCTGCGTACGTATACGCTCATGTATGTGTTTAATAGAATCTTCAATATTTCAATTCGCCAAGAATAAGATAGAGGAAAGTCGCCGATACTGACATAGGTCTCCTAAAGTGACCCCCCCCTTATTTTTCGGAAACTAACTATTGCACTTTATTAATACTAATAAAATCATGATCTGTTTAACTAATTAAAGAAGTACAAACTCAAAATTCGTAGGTTTGT